ACTCCCCTCACTGAAATGGACAGATCATCCAAGCAAAAGATCAAGAAGGAAATAAAGGCCTTAAATGACACACAGGACCAGATGGACATCACAGATATATTCAGAACATTTCATCCCAAAGCAACAGAATACACATTCTTCTCTAGTGCCCATGGAACATTCTCCAGAATAGATCACATCCTCGGTCCTAAATCAGGTCTCAACCGGTATCAAAAGATTGGGATCATTCCCTGCATATTTTCAGACCACAATGCTCTGAAGCTAGAACTCAAATCACAAGAGGAAATTTGGAAAGAACCCAAATACATGGAGACTAAACAGCATCCTTCTAAAGAATGAATGGGTCAACCAGGAAATTAAAGAAGAATTGAAAAAATTCATGGAAACAAATGATAATGAAAACACAACGGTTCAAAATCTGTGGGACACAACAAAGGCAGTCCTGAGAGGAAAATATAGAGTGGTACAAGCCTTTCTCAAGAAACAAGAAAGGTCTCAGGTACACAACCTAACCCTACACCTAAAGGAGCTGGAGAAAGAACAAGAAAGAAACCCTAAACCCAGCAGGACAAGAGAAATCATAAAGATCAGAGCAGAAATCAATGAAATAGAAACCAAAAAAACAATAGAACAAATCAACGAAACTAGGAGCTGGTTCTTTGAAAGAATTAATAAGATTGATAAACCCCTGGCCAGACTTATCAAAAAGAAAAGAGAAAGGACCCAAATAAATAAAATCATGAATGAAAGAGGAGAGATCACAACTAACACCAAAGAAATATAGACAATCATAAGAACATATTATGAGCAACTCTATGCCAATAAATTTGACAGTCTGGAAGAAATGGATGCATTCCTAGAGACATAGAAACTACCACAACTGAACCAGGAAGAAATAGAAAGCCTGAACAGACCCATAACCAGTAAGGAGATTGAAACAGTCATCAAAAATCTCCAAACAAACAAAAGCCCAGGGCCAGACAGCTTCCCAGGGGAATTCTACCAAACATTTAAGGAAGAACTAATTCCTATTCTCCTGAAACTGTTCCAAAAAATAGAAATGGAAGGAAAACCTCCAAACTCATTTTATGAGGCCAGCATCACCTTGATCCCAAAACCAGCAAGGATTCCATCAAAAAAGAGAACTACAGACCAATATCCTTGATGAACACAGATGCAAAAATTCTCACCAAAATACTAGCCAATAGGATTCAACAGTACATTAAAAGGATTATTCACCATGACCAAGTGGGATTTATTCCAGGGCTGCAAGGTTGGTTCAACATCCGCAAATCAATCAATGTGATACAACACATTAATAAAAGAAAGGACAAGAACCATATGATACTCTCCATAGATGCTGAAAAAGCATTTGACAAAGTACAGCATCCCTTCCTGATCAAAACTCTTCAAAGTGTAGGGATAGAGGGCACATACCTCAATATTATCAAAGCCATCTATGAAAAACCCATCGCAAATATCATTCTCAATGGAGAAAAACTGAAAGCATTTCCGCTAAGGTCAGGAACACGGCAAGGATGTCCGTTATCACCACTGCTATTCAACATAGTACTAGAAGTCCTAGCCTCAGCAATCAGACAACAAAAAGAAATTAAAGGCATCCAAATCGGCCAAGAAGAAGTCAAACTATCACTCTTCGCAGATGATATGATACTATATGTGGAAAACCCAAAAGACTCCACTCCAAAACTGCTAGAACTGGTACAGGAATTCAGTAAAGTTTCAGGATATAAAATCAATGCACAGAAATCAGTTGCATTTCTCTACACCAACAAGACAGAAGAAAGAGCAATTAAGGAGTCAATGCCATTTACAATTGCACCCAAAACTATAAGATACCTAGGAATAAACCTAACCAAAGAGACTAAGAATCTATACACAGAAAACTATAAAGTACTCATGAAAGAAATTGAGGAAGACACAAAGAAATGGAAAAATGTTCCATGCTCCTGGATTGGAAGAATAAATATTGTGAAAATGTCTATGCTACCTAAAGCAATCTACACATTTAATGCAATTCCTATCAAAATCCCACCCATTTTTTTCAAAGAAATGGAACAAATAATCCTAAAATTTATATGGAACCAGAAAAGACCTCGAATAGCCAAAGGAATATTGAAAAAGAAAGCCAAAGTTGGTGGCATCACAATTCCAGACTTCAAGCTCTACTACAAAGCTGTCATCATCAAGACAGCATGGTACTGGCACAAAAACAGACACATAGATCAATGGAACAGAATAGAGAGCCCAGAAATAGACCCTCAACTCTATGGTCAACTAATCTTCGACAAAGCAGGAAAGAATGTCCAATGGAAAAAAGACAGCCTCTTCAATAAATGGTGTTGGGGGGCACCTGGGTGGCTCAGTGGGTTAAGCCTCTGCCTTCGGCTCAGGTCATGATCTCAGGGTCCTGGGATCGAGCCCCGCATCGGGTTCTCTGTTCAGCAGTGAGCCTGCTTCCCCCTCTCTCTGCCTGCCTCTCTGTCTACTTGTGCTCTCTCTCTCTCTCTGTCAAATAAATAAATAAATAAAATCTTAAAAAAAAATAAATGGTGTTGGGAAAATTGGACAGCCACATGCAGAAAAATGAAATTGGATCATTTCCTTACACCACACACGAAAATAGACTCAAAATGGATGAAGGACCTCAATGTGAGAAAGGAATCCATCAACATCCTTGAGGAGAACACAGGCAGCAACCTCTTTGACCTCAGCCGCAGCAACATCTTCCTAGGAACATCGCCAAAGGCAAGGGAAGCAAGGGCAAACATGAACTATTGGGATTTCATCAAGATCAAAAGCTTTTGCACAGCAAAGGAAACAGTTAACAAAACCAAAAGACAACTGACAGAATGGGAGAAGATATTTGCAAACGACATATCAGATAAAGGGCTAGTGTCCAGAATCTATAAAGAACTTAGCAAACTCAACACCCAAAGAACAAATAATCCAATCAAGAAATGGGCAGAGGACATGAACAGACATTTCTGCAAAGAAGACATCCAGATGGCCAACAGACACATGAAAAAGTGTTCCATATCACTCGGCATCAGGGAAATACAAATCAAAACCACAATGAGATACCACCTCACACCAGTCAGAATGGCTAAAATTAACAAGTCCGGAAATGACAGATGCTGGCGAGGATGCAGAGAAAGGGGAACCCTCCTACACTGTTGGTGGGAATGCAAGCTGGTGCAACCACTCTGGAAAACAGCATGGAGGTTCCTCAAAATGTTGAAAATAGAATTACCCTATGACCCAGCAATTGCACTGCTGGGTATTTACCCTAAAGATACAAACGTAGTGATCCGAAGGGGCACATGCACCCGAATGTTTATAGCAGCAATGTCTACAATAGCCAAACTATGGAAAGAACCTAGATGTCCATCAACAGACGAATGGATAAAGAAGATGTGGTATATACACACAATGGAATACTATGCAGCCATCAAAAGAAATGAAATCTTGCCATTTGTGACGACGTGGATGGAACTAGAGGGTATCATGCTTAGCGAAATAAGTCAATCGGAGAAAGACAACTATCATATGATCTCCCTGATATGAGGGAGAGGAGATGCAACATGGGGGGTTAATGTGGTAGGAGAAGAGTAAATGAAGCAAGATGGGATTGGGAGGGAGATAAACCATAAGTGACTCTTAATCTCACAAAACAAACTGAGAGTTGCTGGGGGGAGGGGGGTTGGAGGGGTGGGGTTATTATGGACATTGGGGAGGGTATGTGCTATGATGAGTGCGGTGAAGTGTATAAACCTGGCGATTCACAGACCTGTACCCCTGGGGAAAAAAAAATTTATGTTTATAAAAAATAAAATTTATTAAAAAAAAACCCAGCATTTACACAAAGACATGTATGTGAATATTTATAGTATATCATGAAACAGTCACTGTAATGAAGATAATGTAAATATCCATTGCTTGTCTCCTCCAACCAAAGTTTTCTTGTGTTCCCTGTTTTCCTCTCATACCTCTGACCACTCTTCTCCTCTTTGTTTTTGGTCTGGCTTCTTTCACTCAGCATAAATTGTATTTAGATTTCATCCATGTTCTTTAATTAAAAAATTGTTATGAGATTCTTTTTGCAATAATTTATCTAAAGTTTGAATTTTCTCATACAAAGTCTTTAGTGTGAACTTTAAACTTGCCCTATTTTTCCAATTATAGTTGGTAGCCCAGTAGTATACTAGATAATATTTCTTTTTTTAAAAAGATTTTATTTATTATTTATTTGACAGACAGAGATCACAAGTAGGCAGAGAGGCAGGCAGAGAGAGAGAAAGGGAAGCAGGCTCCCTGCTGAACAGATAGTCTGATGTGGGGCTTGATCCCAGGACCCTGGGATCATGACCTGAGCTGAAGGCAGAGGCTTTAACCCACTTAGCCACCCAGGCACCCTAGATAATATTTCTTATACAGAAATAAATTCTACCACTTAAAGTTAATCTGGAATTGTGTGTCAAAGATTAAAAGCTTTCTGGGAATAAGAATTATGAAATACCAAAATCAGGCAAGTTTGAAAGGTTTCCTCATAATAACTTAAAATTTTATTTATTTATTTATTTATTTGAGAGAGAAAGCGAGAGAACATGCACAAGCAGGGGGAGTGGCAGACAGAGGGAGAAGCAGGCTCCCTGCTGAGCAAAGAGCTGGATATGGGACTAGATGCCAGGACCCTGGGATCATGACCCAAGCAGAAGGCAGATGCTTAGCCATCTGAGCCACTCAGTGTCCCACCTCATAATAATTTAAATAATAGCATAGGCAGATAACTCTATGATGGTTTTACCTGTTGAATAAATACAGCAATCAGTAAAGCTTTCCATTTCCCCATCTCCCTCTGATTCTACAATGCTGAGATTATCTAGAAAACTAAACGATGTTAAAGAATAATGTGAGTTTCTTTCAAATTTGTCTCATTTGCCTGTGATTCACTGCTTTCTTTTGTTGTTTCTTTTCAGACCAAATGTTTATTTAGCTTGTTCCGGGATACTGGCCATCTTTTGACTCAGAATAATAAAATAGGAGGATTTAATTCTCCATTGTCAAAACCTATTGTTTCTAAGAACCTGAAAGAAGAGAAAACAGTCAAAGAAAAGGAATTGGAAGGAAGGCTTAGGCCTGGGGATTTGGTAGGTTGTTTAGAAGGTGATGATTTTGCTAGTTTTGTTATATGCCAGAGGCTTGCACTGATTTCTTATCTGGAAAATTGCATCAGTTTAGTTTGGATTTTGTTGCAACATAATGATCATTGTTCCTAACACTGTAAGACCATATAAGAATTCAGTTTTTGAGGTACTTTCATTTTCTTTCAGCAAGCACCTAGTATAAAATCTCAGAGCTCAGATACTCCTTTGGAAGTTGAACCATCTCCAAGCCACAATCCAGAAGGACAGGTAACTATGCATAAAGAGTTGGAAAATTAAGTATGATATTATGGAAAATGCTCATTATCTTAGTTACTATCCCATATTTCCCATGACTAGTTTATGACTTTAGGTAAATTTCTTTGTCTTATTGAGATTCTCTAAAATGAGCAGGTGGTACCAAGTTAACTTTAAGGTCCTTTCTAACATTACAAGTTTATGTCTTTCATTAGTCCTACTATATTATGCACTAGGAGGAATGCAAAGATTTATAATCTTACTCATCTGTGTTCAGGAACTCAATGGTCTGGTGGATGAAACAGATTTATACATAACTAACCATAATATGGAATTTTGATGAATGCTATAATAGAGGTACAAATAAAAGGGGAGTGAGGGCTCAAAGAAGACAAATTAATCACTCCTAGAATGGAGCAATCTCAGAAGACTACATGGAAGAGGTGGCATCTGCTCTAAGTAGTGAAAGATAAAGAGAAAAATTTGCCAGATAAAGATGAGGGGGTAAGCATTTCAGGGCCTGGGAATAGCTTGAGTCAAGGCACAAAGAAGGTAGCAGAATTTGGAGTATATCAATTAATTTAGTGTATGGAGTAGACAAATGAAAAGAGATTCTAGAAGGAGGTGAGAAAGGAGAGGCTACACTGAGTCGTAGAAAGTCTTGTTGAAAGCCTTGTTAAAAGGTTTGGGTTTCATTATATAGGTGATGAGGGACTCTTAAGCCTCATCTTGGAGACTCACATGAAAGGTTTTTAAGTCATGTGGAAATAAGACCTTATATGCATTTAATGGGCCGAACTCTTGCAAGGATGTGAAAAAAAGAGAATGAGGTTGGGTTGGGGGCTTCAGATATCAGTTTATAGGTTTTTATTATAGTACAGATGAGTGTTAGTGCCAGTTTGGTTTAGTGAAGAGGTCGTAGAAAAGAAAGTCAGAAACTTGAAGAGGCAAGATATGGAATTGGGAAGTTTGAGGGTGCTGAGGAAGAGAAGCTGAAGATAACTCAGGTTCAAGAGAAAAGTCAAAAGAGAGGCCAAAATAAGGGAAATGATAAGTTCAGTTTGGGACATGTTGTATTTAGGATGCTGGCAAAATTCTGGGTAAAAATGTCCATCAGGTTGCAGTTGGTAGATGGTGATGTAGATGCTGTGAGTGGGACTATCAGAACGTTATGTGAATATTTCCATAGGACTTGGAAGGTGTGGTGGCAGAAAGAATAGCATTCACTTAAAACAGTTCTAAGAAAAGTATTGAACAAGTTAAACAGCACTTCAGCTAAGATAGAACTTTCCAAGAATAAAATTGAAAATGCTTTTCTGCAAGAGATAACCACTGTTACCTTTTCTTTCCAGTTATTTTTTTGTATTAAAAATATTTTGAGGGACGCCTGGGTGGCTCAGTTGGTTGGACGACTGCCTTCAGCTCATGTCATGATCCCGGGGTCCCAGGATCGAGTCCCACATCGGGCTCCCAGCTCCATGGGGAGTCTGCTTCTCCCTCTGACCTTCTCCTCGCTCATGCTCTCTCTCACTGTCTCGCTCTCAAATAAATAAATAAAATCTTAAAAAAAATATTTTGACAGTCAAGATCATGCTATATACATATATTTGTACCTGCAGTTTTCTTACTTGTATTATGAATGTTAGGGTACTAAAATTTGTTTATATATATCTATTTTTAATGGAAAGAATAAATTAGAGAAAAATATCTTTACAGCAATATATAGAAGCAGGGACATACATTGTGTTGGAGATTCAGCTGGACAGAGCCTTGGTTCCAAAGCGAATGCCAGAGGAGTTAGCCAAAAGGTGTGTAGCAATGGTTCTTATACTTGTTTTGCAAAAACATTTTAGGTATAAATAAAAGGAATTCAGATTGTCCCCATAAATATAATTTCCTAGGCTAAGTAGCAGAAAGTTTTTTTTTCCTCAGATGAAATTTCTTTCGTTACTGTTGCTTTCTTATTACAAAAGCAGCATATGCTCATTATAAAAAAAAAAACATTTTGAAAAAATTGAGTATATAATAATATCTGAGTATATAATAATATAATATAATAAAATATAAAATAATAATATAATATAATAATAATCTGAGTATATAAAAACACTCAGATTTCTACCCACCCAGTGATAACCACTTTAAAAAACTGGTACTTATCCTTCTGGAGTTATTGTAAAGTTTCTGTATTATACACACATACCACAAACATACACACCATGTCACATATAAATAAATGTGATTTTAAAAAATGGTTTTTATATTGTACCATAGTGCTTTGATTGTGTTTCTAGAAAATTATCCATTTCATCTATGTTATTCAATTTGTTGATATACAATTGCTCATGACATTCTCTTATTATTCTTTTTATCTCTATAAAATGGGGAGTAATGTTCCTGCAGACCTAGATAGGAGGCTTGACTTCATCACCTTGAGATCATGACCTGAGCCAAAATCAAGAGTCAGATGCTTAACAGACTGAGCCACTCAGGCGCCCCAGTTACAGATTATATGTTTATACATTTTGTACCTATTAGCAAAGATTTCTAACTACTATTTTATGCATTTACCTTCAAAAAACAAATAAACAGGAGTTACAAACCAAAAGTACAATAATACTCATTTTCATATTTACCTTTACCGGTGTTATTTCTTCAGTTACCTTCCAGTTACTGACTAGTGTCCTTTCATTTCAGCCTGAGAGGCTCCTTTTAGCATTTCTTATAGATTAGATCTTACTAATAGACTCTTAGTTTTTGTTTATTAATTTTTTCTTCATTCTTGAAGGGTAACTTGCTGTATATAGAATTTTTGGTTGGCATTTTTTTTCTTTCAGAACCTTAAATATGTTACCCTAGTACCTTCTGGCCTCCATGGCTTGGGTTATTCTTATTGACATTATTGAAATTATCTGTTTATCTTATGTGACAAATAACTCCTCTCACTGCTTTTTGAGTTTTTCTCTTGTCTTTGGCTTCTTACAATTTGACAATGATATGTCTTAGTATAGATCTCTTCAAGTTTATTCTGCTTGGAAATTGTTATGCTTCTTGGATATATAGATTCATGTCTTTCTGCCCCTTTGCCTTTCTCTTCTCCTTCTGAGATTCCCATAAGGTGTATGTTGGTCATACAAATTGTGTATGTTGATGGTGTCCCACATATTTTAGGCCCTGTTTACTTTTTGTTTGTTTTTCTTTCTGTCCTCAGACTAGGTAATTTCAATTATCCTGTCTTCAAGTTTGCTCATTCTTTCTTCTGCCTGACCAAATCTGTTGAACCCTCTAGTAATTTCATTTCAGTTAATGTACTTTTCAACTACAGACTTTCTATTTGGTTCTTTAAAAAATTTCTATCTCTTTATTGATACTCTATTCTTATTTTGTTTATACATTATTATCCTGATTGCTCTTAATCCTTCGTTTGCGGTTTCCTTTAACTCTTTGAGCACAAGTAAGTTGTTTTATTTCACATCTTTTTGTAGCAAGTCCAGTGTCTGCACTTCCTCAGGGACAATATCAATTTATTTTTTTCTTTCAAAAGAGCCATATTTTTATGTTTTTTAAAAATACATCTTGTGATTTTGTTGTTGTTGTTGTTGAAAACTGGACAGTTTGATATTATAAAGTGGGAACTTTGGTAATCAGATTTTCCCCTTCCCCAGGGTTTGCTGTTCTTAATTGTTGAAGTTGTAGGTTGTGTTCAGCCAGTGTTTTGATTGAAATTTTCTTGAATGCCAGGATCTTGATATAATCAAACAAATAAAGATAAAACAAAATTTTTGTTTGTTTGTTTTTATAGATGATTACATGCTGGAGCATTCTCTCGAGTTTCTTTTCTTTTTTTAATATTTATTTATTTATTTACAGAGAGATAGAGCACATGTGAGCAGGGGGAGCAGGGGGACCACATAGAGAGGGAGAGAAGCAGACTCCCTGCTGAGCAGGGAGCCTGAGGTAGGGCTCAATCCCATGACCCCGAGACTGTGATCTGAGCCAAAATCAAGAGTCAGACACTTAAATGACTGAGCCAACCAGGTGCCCCTGGAGCATTCTTTTATTGCTTAACTAGGCTGTTTATAATTCTGCCTCAGCCTTCACTTCCTGCTTGTACTGGGACTAAAGATCAGTCCATGGTGGAAGCTTAAGGTCTTCTCAAGTCTTTTCTGAACATGTATCCCATCCTGAGCATATATATAGCTTTCTAAATTCTTCTATACAAGTACTTTTGAATACACCAATTTCCCAGAGAAACCTACTTTTCTTCCAAGGCCTTAGGTGGTTTGTTGTATATCAACCACAATCTTTTGTCCCACAGAGTTATGGGTTTTTTATAATCTTACAATGTTTTTGAGCAATGTGCACCCACTGGTTTTCTATCTTTTCAAGATAGGAGAAATAGTATTGAGTGCCATATGTCAGTCATTCAGGTAGCCCCAGATAGGTTAAAACAAATGCAGTAACTTGTGAACAAGGACTGCTCTGCTTTTCCAGAATCAGAGCCTAGTGTGCCACACTGGAAATGCAGGTTGCCATTTTCAGTATTGCCACTGAGCTGGGAATAGGATGAGGCAAGGGCAAGTAAAAATGCCTCTAAGCTTGCCCACTATTATAGTTGCCTTTTTCTTGGTTTTCAGTATTTGTTTCATTGCTGTAAACTCTTGACTGTCTTCCATAGTTCTCACAGAGTTGGTTCAGACAGTTTCTGATTATTATTTTCAGTGTTTCTACAGAAGGTTGGGAGTTTAGAGTTTTTTACTCTATCATTTTGCTGACATCTAGACTTCACCTTTTGATGTGAGGGACACTATGCTCAATGCAGGATGAAAGGAAAGGAGATTATTTATTACAGATATTTTTAAGGCCTTTGATAAATATCCCCAAGTTGCCTTCCAAAAAGTTTGCAGTTCCCCAAGTGGTGTATGAGCCTGCTCTTTCTTCATACATTCACCGACACAATACTTTTTTGTATTTCCTATTTTGACAAGGGAAGAAATTTTCTCATTTTGATTTAATTTTTTGAAAGTTTCTCATTTTAATTTTAATCCACATTATAAATGTTTTAGTGAGAGTAAACATTTTTTCACATACTAGTCATTTGGAAGTCCTCTTTTGAAAATAACTTGCTTGTAGTGGCACATTTATCCTTAATACCAAAAAGTTTCAAAACTTTTAAAAACTTTGCATTTAATCCCTTTCTGAAAATAAGTTGATAATATTTACTATAAATGATATATATAAAATAAAATTGATAATCTGGAAATAGAAAGTTGAAAACTCAAGCCATGGAAACAAAGAGAAAGAAAGTGTTAAATAGAACTTTCATAAATAAGCATCAAATCTTTCTTGTTTAACAAAAAGGGAAATACTATAAATTATGCGGCTCTAATCCTAAAGGAGGACCCATGCTAGTTCCAAAAGAGATCAGATATCTTCCTGACATTAATTTTTAAAACAGATTTCTCATTTGAGATCTTACATAGGGAATACTTAGTGACAAAATAACAGCAAGTTTAATGAAAGTTTTATAGCAAATGTAGGTGCAAGTTTTTTATAATTTTTTTATTGAAGTACAATTGAAATTTAACATTTTATTAGTTTCAGGTGTACAACGTAATGATTCAATAGTTGTAAAACTGAAATGATTACCACAATAAGTCTAGTTAATATCTGTCACCATGCAGAGTTATACAAAAATTTTTTTTCTTGTGATGAGAGCTTTTAAGGTCTACTCTTTTAACAATCTTCAGATATGCAATACAATATTTTTTTTGAGTTTTATTATTTATTTTTAGTAATCTCTATACCCAACATGTGGCTTTAACTCATGACCCTGAGATCAAGCATCATGCGCTCTTCCAACTGAGCCAACCAGGTGCCCCTCAAATATGCAGAACAGTATTATTTTTTTATCTTATTTTTTTAAAGATTTACTTATTTTAAAAAAATTTTTAAAAGATTTTATTTATTCATTTCAGAGAGTGAGGAGAGAGAGAGATAGAGTGCACACATGAGCATGATGGGGGGAGGGTCAGAGGTAGAAGCAGACTCCCTGCTAAGCACAGATCTGGATGCAGGACTCAATCCCAGGACCCTGAGATCATGACCTGAGCCAAAGGCAGATGCTTAATGAACTGAGCCACCCAGGAACTCCTATTTATTTATTTTAGAAAGAGAGAGAGAAAGCCTAGTGGGGAGGTGCAGAGGGAGAGGGAGAGAGAATCTCAAGTAGACCCCCTGCTGAGTGCAGAGCCTGATGCAGGGCTCCATCCCACCACTGTGAGATCAAGACCACAGCCACCCAGGTGCCCCTAGGTGCCCCTGCTCTTAGACTTTAAAAATATATATATATATTTTTTTTAAAGATTTTTATTTATTTATTTGACAGAGAGCACAAGTAGGCAGAGAGGCAGGCGGGGGAGGAGGGAAGCAGGCTCTTTGCTAAGCAGATAGCCCAATGCAGGGCTCAATCCCAGGACCCTGGGATCATGACTTGAGCCTAAGTCAGAGGCTTTAACCCACTGAGCCACCCAGGTGCCCCTAGACTTTTTAATTAGACATGGTTATTACCTGTGAGTTTTTCTTTGGCTGTAGAGAGGTAAAAGGCAGATTTCTCCTCCAAGCTAGACCAAGTGTCAATATTATAGACCAAAGGCAAATTAAGAATGGCAGTGCTAGGGACGCCTGGGTGGCTCAGTTGGTTGGACGACTGCCTTCGGCTCAGGTCATGACCCCGGAGTCCCGGGATCGAGTCCCACATTGGGCTCCCAGCTCCACGGGGAGTCTGCTTCTCTCTCTGACCTTCTCCTCGCTCATGCTCTCTCTCACTGTGTCTCTCTCAAATAAATAAATAAAATATTAAAAAAAAAAAAGAATGGCAGTGCTAGAATAGTGGACCCAATATTCATAAAAGTTGATTTGCCTTTGGTTCCTGGCTGAGACATATATGTACCTAACTGCTGAATCTTTGTCAATGTATATATTTAATGCACTCTTAAACATAAAGAGAAGCTCAATTACGTTTACAATAAAAGAAATACAAATTTAAAAACTACCCTGAAATACCTTTTTTTAATTGCAAAAGATCAAAAAAGCTTAATAACTCATTAAGTTGTTGATGAGCACATTAGAAATGGGTCCTCTCATTCAAATTAGTGAGAGTATAAATTGGTAAAAATCCTGGGGAGGACAGTGTCGTAATAGCTATTAAAATACATAAGCATGTGTCTTTTAACCTAGTAACTCACTTCCAGTAACTTCTTTACAGATAAATGTTCTTAGCAAGGCCATTAGTGACTACTGCATTATTAAATCCAATCTTTTCAAGGTCATTGTGACCTGTTATTAGTGTTTAATGATTCAGTCCTCCTTGAAGCTCTTCTTTACCAGGCTCTCACAATACTATACTCTCTTGGTTTTATTCCTCCTCCTCTGGCTTCTTTATCTCTCTAGCCTCTAAATGTTGGAGTCTCTCAGATCTCAGTCCTTGGACCCTTTTCAATCTACATTTACTACTTTGGTTTTTATCTAGTCCCATGTCTCTAACTACCATCTATGTGCTGATGGCTTTCAAATTTGTATATGGGCCATGGGCCTCTCTCCTGAACTCTGGATTCATACATTTCATTCTCACAAACTCTCTGGTCAGAATCATTGTAATCTCTTACCTGGTCCCCCTACATCTACTATTCTACCCTTCAGTTTATTCTTTTTATAAAGTAACAACTTTATTGAGATATAGTCCACATACCATTCACTTCACCCATTTAAACCATACCCAAACCAGTGGTTTTTAGTATACTCACAGAGTAATACAACCTTCACCACAATCAACTTTATAACATTTTTCTTACTCCTAAAAGAAATCTCATACATATTAGCAGTCACTCTATATTTCCTCTCAGCCCTTATGCCATCCCCTCTCCCAGAACCCCCCAGCCCTAGGCTATCATGTATCTACTTTTTGTCTGTATAAATTTTCCAGCTTTGGACAATTTATTAAATTTGACTGGCTTCTTTCATTTAACATAATGCTGTCAAGGTTTATCCATACTGTAGCATGTATCAGTACTTCTTTTCTTTGTTGTTGAATAATATTTCACTGTATGGGTATACCACATTTCCCCCCATTCTTCAGTTGATGGACATTTGGACAATTTATTCTTAATATAGCCTTCTATACTGATTGTGTTAAAATGGAAGTCAACTCATGTAACTAACTCCTCTGCTCAGAAACTACTAGTGACTCCCTGGCACACTCTGAGTAAAAGCCTAAATCCTTACAATGGCCTATGTATTCATTATGTACTTTGCTCTCACTTTTTCTATCCATTCATACTTGGCTTCCTGCTGTTCTTCACACATGCGAGGCACACTGTTGCAGCAAGGCCTTTACACTTTCTGTTCCCTTTTGCCTGTACTTTCCTTATACCAGGTATCTACACAACTTGCTTCCTCACTTCCCTGAGGTCTTTACTCAAATGTTACCATCTCAGTAAGTGTCTTGATGAAATGTGTTTCCCTACTTCACCACCCTAGCCCCCAACATAGTCCATCTGCCTTCCTGCCTTATTTTTCTCTGTGGCACATATCACTAAAATATTTATCTTAATAATTGTTTTTCTTTTCCCACTAGAATATAAGTTCCATGAGGGCAAGAATTTTTGCCTAATTTGTTTAATGCTCTATTCCCAACACTTAGGAAAGTGCCTGATGGATGGTAGGCACTCAGTATATGTCTTGAATGAGTGAATAAATAACATTGTCTCTGGAGAGGAAATTGGGTGGCTGGACAAAAAGGTTGTCAAAAAGGAGACAATTTAGTATATATTGTTTCTATACCTCATAAGTTTTGAATCATAGGATATAATACCTATTAAAATAAATAAAACTAAAATTAGAAATAATGAGCAGAGGTATATAATTACATAGGACCTATTAAAGAAAAATTGAATTTGTATATTTGATTGTAAACTTTAAGGCAGTACTGTATATGTCAGCAGGAATCTGAAACTATAAGGAGGAAAAGCTAAGAACTTAATTTCCTCTAGTTTTTGTAAGGTCTCTAGAAAATGGAAGGTAGAAGTTTTGGCATAACTAGGTTGATAGTAATAAAATACATTTTCTTAACACAACATCTGATATCATTATTATAATTTAATGCAGCCATAAATTATGTGTACCAAGAGGACACTTTTTATCCTAGATGAAGAGGAAAGAAAAGTATTCACTTGCCTGTGCCATTTAGACTTCTAAAACTTCATTGTTTCAGAGACTCTATGGAGTGCACTTACATCATAACACCCATTTCTTGCTAACTCCCGAGTCAAGCAGTCTCTTGAGTGCAATAACAGTTTTTAAAAATGTATGAGTAAAACCGGGCTGAAATTAGCCAAAAGTACAACTTTGCTGATTTCTGAGTAGCTGGCTTCTTTCCTATCGAATCCATAGCCATATACTGTTCTGTGCTTCACATCTAGGCTTTTACATGAGAGAATTGTAATGCTCAAGCATGATGTGGAAACAAAACTTAGGTCTCTCCCATACAGGCCCTTTAGAAGTAGGAGTAAGAGAACATAAATCTACAGATAATAAAGTTTGGTTTTGTTTTTGTCGTTTTTTTTTGGTACAGGGTCAAGGAAATGATTCCTCCAAGGCCGCCTCTTACCCGTCGGACAGGAGGAGCTCAGAAGGCAAGTGCCAAAGCCATGGTGAAACTATAAGTAATAAAGTGTTGAGTGCACCCATTTGAAAATAAGGCATGGATTCTTCAGTATGTTTTCTAGAAGGGGTGAGAAATTGTAGCTTCCTGGTTCTTTTTGTGACCAGTTTTTCTCTTCCTGGTTCTGTTTGTGACCAGTGACGTACAATGACGAGTGAATAGTGTTTCCTCTTTGGCTGGTAGTCTCTGAGCCTTTTCAGTAAAGGACAATTTATACCTAAAGTATTATTGAATGTAAAACCCAATCCAGTTTCAGACTTCCATTATATATCTTGATCTCTTCAAGGCCTCTTTACCAGATATTTTGTATTTTGCTAGGCAGTGAGTGACTACCACATGCAGATCAAGAATATTTCTAGAGCTATTCTGGATGAGTATCATAGGATGTTTGGAAAACAGGTGGCCAAACTGGGGAGTAACATGGATAGTGAAACCGTGGAGGAGCAGAAGTGCCTGCTCAGCTATGAACTTAACTGCTCTGGAAAATACTTCGCTTTCAAAGAACAGCTCAAGGTAAATACTCATTTAATTGTTCAGTGGATTTTTATGAGGCATCTTCTCTACATTCCTAATTATTAGTTTTTCTCTGCTCATGTTCAGCTATGCTTCCACCATTCTTGCTGTTGGTGCCAAGAGTTATGTTCTGTCTGATAGGACATGAGAAGCTCCACTTGTGCAAAGCCCTGGTTTTAAGTCTTTACTTGAGGCTAGGCCAGATTTTGAACCAGGTTTCGTGTTGCTGTGGCAGGTAGAAACTCTGTACCTGGTACTGATTCCATGACTACTAATTCTCTGTCTCCCATTACCTACCTTTCCATAGTCCACAGAATCACTAAGATTGGAGAAATATTTACTTAATAATAATCTTCTGCATCATAATGCTTAACATTTATTGAGTGTTTGCAGTATACCAGACAAATTTTTAAATGCTTTGTATTTTACTAATTTAATCCTAACAACAATCCTATGAGGTAGATAGTCTTCATTTTACAGTTGGAGAAATGCAATATTAATTAGGTAAGTAATTTCCCCAAGAGCATAGAACTAGTAAAGGGTAAAGATGAGACTCAAATTCAGGCAGCCTTCTTGCCCCAGAATTAACATTCTTAACTGCTATGCTGGATTACCTCTCTGTGCACATTTATCATGTGTCCTGTACTGAACTTAACAGATACAAAGAAAGCACATGGAAATAATAGGTGAAAAACAACTGATGCCCATGGAGGTGAGGAGCTCTTCTCAGTAGGTGGCATAGTCACAACTTAGTTTGATTCCTGGTTCTACCATTACTAGCTGAATGGTCAAATGACTTTACCTCTTTGAGCTTTAATTACTTTGTGTAATTATGAGGAATAATACTAATACTATCACATGGGGTCATTATGAGAATTAAACAATATGATGCATGGAAAGTGCTTGGTACAAAACCTGGCAATAATGTTAGCTGGGTGGGGGGGGACAGTCATGGCTACAGCAATATGTTATTTGTACAGCATTTTAAGTTTTATCACCTACTTGTTATCTTTCTTTGGCTTCTCAATCATCTTTTGAAGTAAGATAATAAGACCAGAAGTACACATCCATATAACAAATGAGGAAAATGAGGTAGTAACTTCAATTGTTGAGGTTGTACGGTGGCAGAATTAGAAGTAGAATTCCATTCTCTAGACTGTCAAATCACACCTTTTGCTCTTGTATCATATGGTCACCATAAGAGATGTAATGCATAAATCTAATGCTGAGGTTTTCTTTAGATTTATGGCTCTCTTCACATGATATGTATTCTGCATTGACCGTATTAGAGATGACGTCAAGAAAAGAAGTCATGCAGAGTATGCTGACTGGGGGAAAATCAGAGACCTGACATTCTAGTAGTTACCAAGGGAGAAATCAATCACTTTCTGAAGTTCTGATGAGCCTTAGACCAGGGCTCAAGGGAGGCCTGTGTTGTCAGTGTGGTGCTGGACTCTATAATCAAATGGATGATCTATGTCTCTTACAGCATGCTGTAGTAAAGATTGTGAGGGAGAAGTATTTGAAGACAACGCCATTTGAAAGCCAGGAGGAACTGCAGACATTTATTAGTGAGCTCTATGTGTTCTTGGTGGATCAGATGCATGTGGCCTTAAACCAGGTAGGTGCTCAAGAACTAAGAGCCCTTCCTTTTCTCCATAGGACATCAGGGTCTCTGAATGATTCCTTCCTTGCTTGCTTCCTTTCTTCATTCAGCAAACATTTATGAGGTGTCTACTCTATTGCACTGACAAAGATGAATAAGAAACTGCCTAAATTATAAAACTAGTTTTCGGGAGAATGAGGGAGAATAATTCAACTTCCTGGCATAATAACTTTCATAATTATCTTAAATGTGATGGATAAAAGAAATATATAAAATCAGCTAATTAAATTATAAAACAAAAATCATCATTTTATTCATTCTGTGTGTACAATTTTCAGTTTGCTCTCCATGATTGGCAATCAAAACTAAGAAACATTATAAGCTTTCAGATATTATACCTGAATAACAATGACAGTTCAATTGTGCCTTTTCTTTTCTTTTTTTTTTTTTTTGGGAGAGGGGGGTATGTAGGGCAGAAGGAGAGGGAGAGAGAGAGAGAGTCCCAAGCAGGCTCCCTGCCCATTGCAAAGCCCCATACAGAGCTTGATCTCACAACCCTGAGATGATGACCTGAGCCTAAATCAAGGGTTGCATGCTTAACCCACTGAGCCACCCAGGTGCCCCCAAACATGCCTTTTCTATTTGACTGTTAGCCTGCTCTTCTCCCATTTGTCTCTTTCTATCTATATTTGCACAGCTTGCATATTGTCTTCATTTGCTCATTTTAAAATGTATATAGTTGTGGTTTATTTGAAAACAATGGCGAAAAGCCAAGTCTTTTTGTCCCCTTGGTCGTCTCTAAGCAGCCATTGTTCCTCAAACCCTCTGTTGTTTTTCCCTTTACTGTTGCTTTCTTCTCTATCACCATTATTTTTTCTTTCACCTTGTCTTTCTGGAGGGGGAAGGTGAGGAGTGTCCTATATCCTAAGATTAAGAAAACAATTCTACCTTGAGCACAGATGATTTAGATAAATTGCCTTGAGAATTGAGCATGAGATAGTAGTTACTGTTGCCTTGTGCTGTCAAGGAATCCCTGTCTAGTAGAGAAGAGAGACATCAAATACAAATAAGTGCAATAGGGTGAGGTAAGTGCTGTGACAGGGACATGTCCATGGGAGAGCAAGTTAGGGGATACCTAAAGATTGGTCAACTTCACCCTGAGAAAGGTGTCAGGAAAGGATTCACAGAAGAGCTGTGCCTTGAGCTTGAAGACTAAAAATTTTCCAGGTGGATGTTTCAGAGCATTTGAGTCATAGGGAACATCACAAAAGCTTGGAAGATTGGAAGTATGGCATATACAGAAACTGCCTATCATTTAGGAACAGAGATTGAAGTGGTTAAGGGACATAGAAGTAGGAGTTGAAGCCAGGGATCAGTTCCTAGTAAGGGGATTGAGAATGTGGATGGAAGCCTTATATGCTACACAAAGAAGTTTTGACTTTTTCCCTTATTAGCGTTTGGAAGCAATAAATTTAATTACATTATAAGTGGAATAATATAATCAGATCTACATTTTATGAAAAACACTCTGATGGCAGTATGTTGTATGGGTTAGATGTAATGAAACTGGTGGTGTTAACCAGTTATTATTTGGTAATAAAGGGGTCAAAGATTCTTAAGTTTAAGGCTCAATAATGGGGTAGCTTATAGTACCATTAACTAGAACAGGAAATACAACAGAAGTGAATTTGGTAGGAGGCAGGTGATTGTTGAAATCACTTTTGAACATTGGTTCTTGTGGGGTTTTTCTTAAGAGAGATCTGAGCTGGAGAGAAGATTTGGGGAGCCATGAGTATATACAGGCATTACTTGGAGATATTGACAGTTTGGTTCCAGACCACCACAATAAAGCAAATATCACAATAAACAAGTCAAATGAATTTTTTGGTTTCCCAGTGCATATAAATGTTTACACTATACTGGAGACTATTATGTATGCAATAGCATTATGTCTAGAAAAACAATGTACGTATCTTAGTTAAAAAAAAAATACCGTATTGCTAAAAAATCCTAACCATCATCTGAGTTTTCAGCGAATTCTAACCACAGATCACAGATCACTGTAACAAATATAGTTAACAATGAAAAAGCTTGAATTATTGTGACAGTTACCCAAATGTGACACAGAGGCACAAAGTGAGCAAATGCTATTAGAAAATGGCACAATAGATTTGTTTGACACAGAGTTACCACAAATCTTCAATTTGTAAAAACAAACAAACAAACAAACAAAAAACCAACCAAAAGACAGTATCTGTGAAGTGCAACAAAAGATATGCCTTAGATACTAGTTAAAATATGATCATAAATTAAGCTGCTGAGAAAAACATGAGTCGAGAGAGAAGTGAGCTGTCAGTGGAACCCTATCAAGCAGCAGCATTTAAGGGATGGATGAGTAAAAGAATTAATGGAAGGAGGGGTGCCTGCGTGGCTCAGTCATGATCCCAGGGTCCTGGGATTGAGCCCCGCATCAGGCTCCCTGCTCAGCGGGAAGTCTGCTTCTTCCCTCTCCCACTCCCCCTGTTTGTGTTCCCTCTCTCGCTGTGTCTCTCTCTGTCAAGTAAGTAAATAAAAATCTTTAATTAAAAAAAAAGAATTAATGGAAGGAGATAAGTGAATTGTTAAAAAGGTAAAAGCCAGAAGACAGTGGTATCACAGAAGTTAAGGGGAGATAATTTTAAGAAGAAAAAGTAGTCAACAATGTCAAATATTCCTAGGAGTTCATGGGGAAGGAGAATTGGAACAAGGTCGTCAAAAGGTATAAACTTCAAATTACAAGATAAACTAGTACTAGTGATGTAATGTACAGCATGATGACTAAAGCTAACACTGTTGAATGATATATGTGAAAGTTAAGGGAGTAAATCTTTTTTATTTATTTATTTATTTATTTATTTATTTAATAATTTTATTTTTTATAAACATATATATATATATTTTTTCCCCCCAGGGGTACAGGTCTGTGAATCTCCACGTTTACAAACTTCACAGCACTCACCATAGCACATACCCTACCCAATGTCCATAACCACCCCCCCAACCCCCCTCTGCCCAGCAACCCTCAGTTTGTTTTGTGAGATTAAGAGTCACTTATGGTTTGTCTCCCTCCCAATCCCAACTTGTTTCATTTACTCTTCTCCTACCCCCTTAACCCCCCATGTTGCATCTCCTCTCCCTCATATCAGGGAGATCATATGATAGTTGTCTTTCTCCGATTGACTTATTTCGCTAAGCATGATACCCTCTAGTTCCATCCATGTTGTCGCAAATGGCAAGATTTCATTTCTTTTGATGGCTGCATAGTATTCCATTGTGTGTATATACCACATCTTCTTTATCCATTCATCTGTTGATGGACATCTAGGTTCTTTCCATAGTTTGGCTATTGTAGACATTGCTGCTATAAACATTCGGGTGCACGTGCCCCTTCGGATCACTACGTTTGTATCTTTAGGGTAAATACCCAGCAGTGCAATTGCTGGGTCATAGGGTAGTTCTATTTTCAACATTTTGAGGAACCTCCATGCTGTTTTCCAGAGTGGTTGCACCAGCTTGCATTCCCACCAACAGTGTAGGAGGGTTCCCCTTTCTCTGCATCCTCGCCAGCATCTGTCATTTCCGGACTTGTTAATTTTAGCCATTCTGACTGGTGTGAGGTGGTATCTCATTGTGGTTTTGATTTGTATTTCCCTGATGCCGAGTGATATGGAGCACTTTTTCATGTGTCTGTTGGCCATCTGGATGTCTTCTTTGCAGAAATGTCTGTTCATGTCTTCTGCCCATTTCTTGATGGGATTATTTGTTCTTTGGGTGTTGAGTTTGCTAAGTTCTTTATAGATTCTGGACACTAGCCCTTTATCTGATATGTCGTTTGCAAATATCTTCTCCCATTCTGTCAGTTGTCTTTTGGTTTTGTTAACTGTTTCCTTTGCTGTGCAAAAGCTTTTGATCTTGATAAAATCCCAATAGTTCATTTTTGCCCTTGCTTCCCTTGCCTTTGGCGATGTTCCTAGGAAGATGTTGCTGCGGCTGAGGTCGAAGAGGTTGCTGCCTGTGTTCTCCTCAAGGATGTTGATGGATTCCTTTCTCACATTGAGGTCCTTCATCCATTTTGAGTCTATTTTCGTGTGTGGTGTAAGGAAATGATCCAATTTCATTTTTCTGCATGTGGCTGTCCAATTTTCCCAACACCATTTGTTGAAGAGGCTGTCTTTTTTCCATTGGACATTCTTTCCTGCTTTGTCAAAGATTAGTTGACCATAGAGTTGAGGGTCTATTTCTGGGCTCTCTATTCTGTTCCATTGATCTATGTGTCTGTTTTTGTGCCAGTACCATGCTGTCTTGATGATGACAGCTTTGTAATAGAGCTTGAAGTCTGGAATTGTGATGCCACCAACTCTGGCTTTCTTTTTCAATATTCCTTTGGCTATTCGCGGTCTTTTCTGGTTCCATATAAATTTTAGGATTATTTGTTCCATTTCTTTGAAAAAAATGGATGGTACTTTGATAGGAATTGCATTAAATGTGTAGATTGCTTTAGGTAGCATAGACATTTTCACAATATTTATTCTTCCAATCCAGGAGCATGGAACATTTTTCCATTTCTTTGTGTCTTCCTCAATTTCTTTCATGAGTACTTTATAGTTTTCTGTGTATAGATTCTTAGTCTCTTTGGTTAGGTTTATTCCTAGGTATCTTATAGTTTTGGGTGCAATTGTAAATGGGATGGACTCCTTAATTTCTCTTTCTTCTGTCTTATTGTTGGTGTAGAGAAATGCGACTGATTTCTGTGCATTGATTTTATATCCTGACACATTACTGAATTCCTGTACAAGTTCTAGCAGTTTTGGAGTGGAGTCTTTTGGGTTTTCCACATATAGTATCATATCATCTGCGAAGAGTGATAGTTTGACTTCTTCTTTGCCAATTTGGATGCCTTTAATTTCTTTTTGTTGTCTGATTGCTGAGGCTAGGACTTCTAGTACTATGTTGAATAGCAGTGGTGATAACGGACATCCCTGCCGTGTAAGGGAGTAAATCTTAAGAGTTCTTATCACAAGAAAAAATTTTTCTTTTTTTCTTTTTTTTTATTATGTCCATTTGAGATGATGGATACTAACTAAACTTATTGTGGTAATTATTTTATAGGATGTGTCTGTCAAACCATTATGCTCTATGCCTTAAACTTACACAGTGATGTAGGTCAATTATATCTCAATAAACTGGGGGAAAAAAGAAAAAAATTGAAAAGTTTTCATTGAATCTGAAAACAAAGAGGTTATTAACTTTCACATAGCAATATCAGTGAGCTAATGGAGTAGATTCAAATTATAATGAACTGTGGAGTAAATGAGTGATTAAGAAGCAGGTGAATATAAATTCAAGAAGTTGGAAGATGAAAGGAAGGGAGGGGAAAGTAGTAGCTAGAAATTATAGAGATTTTCTTTTTAAGCTGGAGATGTCTTTAGCATATCCATAGGTTTGGGAAAAGGAGTCAGCAGATGGGAACAAATTGAAAATAGAAGGAAAGAGAAAATAATTGATGGCAAAGCCCAGGGTATATACAGGTAGGAAAGGATCAAGAACAGAGAAGGATGAGATGCTTCTTCCTCAGACTGAAAGGAAGGATATCAATGGATGCAGAAATAAACTCTTTCAGTGTGGAGTTCATTAGTTGAGGAATTTCTGGCCTAATGATTTCCATTTCCTCTGTGAAGTAATGTCTTTGCGGACAGTGAAGGGAATAACATTTAAATAAAAAACATGAAGAAAGAGAAGAATATTTAGGTACTGCATCATAGCATTATGGAATTTGTTGTTGAACAAGGACAACTACTACATAGATTGCAGAGAGTATGAAAGGTCTTCAGCTAAGGCTGAATGCCAAAGAATCTGTGGCAGTCCAGATATTTCTTTGCGTACGCAGTTTTCCTCAGGACCTGTTAGCAGCTCTTGTTTAAGACTTAAGAAGTCAGATAGTAGGGTTGTTTTAACTGGGGAGTCTTCAGACCAAGTGCAGAAGAAGGACAAGGATGCCTGGGACCTGAGTGTGCTGACGAGAGAGTAGTATGAGTGGATGATCATGAGGTCCAAGCTTACCCACCTGGGAAACATAGGCATTTGGAAATGAAGGAAATAAAGTCAAAGAGCAGTTTTCAGGGGATTAAGTGACAAAAAGACTGAAGGCTTGTAACGTAGATTCTGGGAGTGAAATGTTAGAGGTAGAGTATTTCTGGTTTGCAACGAAGTGTGTTGCTGGAAGGATTTGGAGGTCAAGATCATCAAAGTTAAAAATAACAAAAACAGAAGCATTATTCCATGATCAGGAACTCTCTTTGGCCATCTCAAATTTAGCTTTACTCTCTACATCCCTTAGCAACTCTACTTGTTAATGTCACTGATAATATTTTTACTTCTAATTAAAGAATTTGGGGAGGTCTGCCTTGACAATATCTTCTGATCCAGGAGATTACTTACTATACCAGAACTGCTTTCCTGGGTGGGCACATGGAGCATAATATTTTGGGGGGTTTTCTCCTACATTCTGGCTATTTCTAAAATGTTTCCTTTTTGGGATATGCTTACATATCTCACTAAAAGTACAGAAGCAACTTCCAAAGCGTTACCCTTCATCTCCTGTTTTTTCAATGTTTGAAGACTCTAACTAGTGTTTGCCAACCTTTTTCATGTAATGGCACCTAAAAATGATAATATTTTTCACATACACTAGAGAAAATGTAAGCTGTTTGAGGTCAAAGGAGGCTTAGAGATTTTTGACTGCCCTGAGGGTTGAGGAGAATAGTTCTGCCCAAATTAATTTTTACTCACTTCTATGAGTTTAGATTGTTGGTATTCAGACACCTGAGCTTCTCTTTCACCCTTGATATTTCTCTCTTGGTTCACTTTCACTCTCTTTCTATATTGGCAAGACTGTAAAAAACCCCAATATCATTTTCAACCTTATAACTGGGTTCTCACGTCTAGTTTATTCTTATAAGACTCTCTACTTGTAATTGTTTTGTTTTGTTTTGTTTAACATCTTGATGACAAGACCATGCCAGATGATATCCAAGGTGCTGTTTCAACCATCTATACAAGCAGTGAACAGCTTCGACTCTTTGCATTTGAAGCAGAAGTCAATGAGAACTTTGAAATGGCAGCAGTGTATTATGAAGAGGTAATTAAATGTCTTGCCAGTGGTAATTGTTACTATTATTTGTATAATATGGGTATAACAAATAGTTTTTAATTATTTAAAACCCAACAGGACTGATGAAAGGATAGACACATAAATCAATAAAATAGAACCTAAAAATAGATCCACACAAATGAGGACATTATATTTTTATTTTATTTTATTTATTTATTTATTTATTTTTATTTCTTCTCAGCGTAACAGTATTCATTGTTTTTGCAACACACCCAGTGCTCCGTGAAATACGTGCCCTCCCTAATACCCACCACCTTGTTCCCCTAACCTCCCACCCCCCGCCCCTTCAAGACCCTCAGGTTGTTTTTCAGAGTCCATAGTCTCTCATGGTTCACCTCCCCTTCCAATTTCCCTCAACTCCCTTCTCCTCTCCAACTCCCCATGTCCTCCATGTTATTTGTTATGCTCCACAAATAAGTGAAACCATATGATAATTGACTCTCTCTGCTTGACTTATTTCACTCAGCATAATCTCTTCCAGTCCTGTCCATGTTGCTACAAAAGTTGGGTATTCATCCTTTCCGATGGAGGCATAATACTCCATAGTGTATATGGACCACATCTTCCTTATCCATTCGTCCGTTGAAGGGCATCTTGGTTCTTTCCACAGTTTGGCGACCATGGCCATTATATTTTTGACAGAGGTGTAAGGAAATTCAATAGAGAAAAGACAGTCTTTTAAAAAAAATGGTATTAGAACTGTTGGTCATCCATATGCAAAAAATAAACTTTGACTTAAGCCTCAAACATTGTATAAAAAAATCAACTTAAGAGGCACCTTGGTGGGGCACCTGGGTGGCTCAGTGGGTTAAAGCCTCTGCCTTCGGCTCAGGTCATGATCCCAGGATCCTGGGATAGAGCCCTGAATCAGGCTCTCTGCTTAGCGGGGAACCTGCTTCCTCCTCTCGCTCTCTCTTCCTGCCTCTCTGCCTACTTGTGATCTCTGTCTGTCAAATAAATAAATAAAATCTTAAAAAAAAAAAAAGAGGCACCTTGGTGGCTCAAGTGGTTGAGCATCCAACTCTTGCTCTCGGTCAGGTCTTGATCTCAGTGTAGTGAATTCAAGCCCAACACTGGGCTCCAGGCTGGGTGTAAAGCCTACTTAAAAAAAAATCAACTTAAAATGAACCATAGATCTGAATGTAAAATATAAAACTGTAAAAATTTTAGAAAAAAACAAAGGAGAAAGTCTTCATGACCTGGAGTTTTGGACATGATGCAAAAGCATGATCCATAAAAGAAAAATAGGATAAATGGAACTTCATCAAAATTAAAATGTGTGCTTTGTAAAAGGTAGTATTAAGAGAAAGAAAAGAAAGGTAGATATTGAGAAAAATTATCTGCAAAACATATATCTGACAAAAGATTTGTATCCAGAATATTAAGAACTCCCAAAATTCAACAGTAGAAAAATGACTAAATAAAAATGGGCAAAAGATTTGAAAAGATATTTCACTAAAGAGGACATAAATATGATAAATAAGAACATGAAAAGATGTTCAACATCATTAGCCATTAGGGAATGCAAATTCAAATCACAATAAAGTGCCACTACAATACATTAGAATAACTAAAATGAAAAATGGTGACAATAAGAAGTGCTGGTGGGGATACAAAACAACTGGAACCCTCATACTTTGCTGGAGGAAATGCGTAATGATAAAGCAACTCTGGAAAATAGTTTGGCAGTTTCTACTCCTGGGTATTTACCTTAAAAAAGTATAATCTTAGTGGTATTCCCATGCATTTTGGCCATTTGTAGATCTTCATAGAAATGTCTATTTAAGTCCTTTGCCCACTTTTGAGTCACTTTTGTTTAATTTTTGTTGTTGAGTTTTAGTAGTTCTTTACATATTCTGAATATTCTTACCAGTTACAGGTATATGATTTGCAAATATTTTCTCCCGTTCTGTGAATTACCTCTTTACTCCGTTGAGTTTCTTTTGATGTACAAAAGTTTTTTAAAGGTTTTTGATAAGTCCAATTTGTCTTTTTTTCTTTTGTTAACTGTGCCTTTGGTGTCATATCCAAGAAATCATTGTGATATCCAGAGTCATGTTATAGTTTTAAGTCCTACATCTAGGTCTTTGATCTATTTCGAGTTATTTTTTGTATATGGCATTAAGTAGGGGTCCAGCTTCATTTTTTACATGTAGATGTGGATATCCAGGTTTCTTAGCACCATTTGCTGAAAAGACTGTCCTTATATATTGAATGGTCTTGGCTTCTTTGTCAAAAATCATTTGACCATATATGTGAGAGCTCTCTACTCTATTCCATTGTTTTTTATATTTATCTTGATACTAGCACCATGCAGATTACTATAACTTTTTAAGCTTTGAAACCTGGTGTCTGTTTTTATGCCAGTACCATGCTGTCTTGGTGATCACAGCTTTGTAGTAAAGCTTGAAATCAGGCAATGTGATGCCGCCAGTTTTGTTTTTCTTTTTCAACATTCCTTAGCAATTCGGGGTCTCTTCTGATTCCGTACAAATTTTAGGATTGTTTGCTCCAGCTCTTTGAAAAATACCGGTGGAATTTTGATCAGAATGGCATTAAGAGTATAGATTGCTCTAGGCAGTATAGACATTTTAACAGTGTTTATTCTTCCAATTAATGAGCATGGAATGGTCTTCCATCTTTTTGTGTCTTCTTCGATTTCTTTCATGAGTGTTCTGTAGTTCCTCGAGTACAGATCCTTTACCTCTTTGGTTAGGTTTATTTCCAGGTATCTTATGGTTCTTGGTGCTATAGTAAATGGAATCAATTCT